AGAAACGGCGCCGGGCAGGAAGCCACAGAATTGAGACTCTCCAGCACCTTGCATTCAGGACAGGAACGGCTTCAGGAGTCCCATATATATATATATATATATATATATTTATTTATTTATTTATTTAATTATTTATTTATATTTATTCATATTTATTTATGTGTCTATTTATTTATATATTTATTTATATATTTATTTACTTATTTATTAATGTATTTTGTATTTTTATTTTATATATATATATTGAGTTATTTATGTATATTATGTATTCATATAATATACATATATATATATAGATATATATATATATAGAGATATGGGGCTGCAAGGGCTGTTACAGGGGTGTTTGGGGAGTTCTTGCTGCGTTTCAGATACCGTCTCTTGCATGTCTTCCTTTGGGAAAAGACGAGAAAAGGCCTGGCCCAGAGTCTCTCCTTTACAGGAATATGATATGCTATAACTAGGCTATAACCTTAGTACTATTATTTTACTATCAGTGTTAATGTTATTATCGATATGGGAGTTTCCGAAAAGATGGGGTACCTTATTTTTTGGTGTCCTTTTTATAAGGATCCTATTACTTAGGCTACTATATGAGGGTCCCCTGTAACTAGGGTGTAATCTTCGTACTGTTACCATTATTATCATTCTTATTGTTAATATTGATACTGCTATTATATAACACAGTAAGATTTATGTAGCATAGTACAGTAGAATATAGGATCCATGTATAGGTTTGGAGTCTGTATTTGGGCACCGAGATGTCCAAAGCTCCCATCAAGAATAAGAAACCACTGCAAATGGTGCATCTAAGATCATCTAAGAACACTAGCTTATGAACCAACTCGAGGCTGCATCCTGAAGCCGCCAATCTTTATGATGTTCCTAGCATCTTTGCTGGAAGTCCCTGGGCATTGCCCGTCGTGGAGCGGGCACTTGCGCTGAGAGTGCAGAGGATGGGGTTCGTGTTTAGCGCTTAGATCGGATGGCCAATCTGATTCAAGCTCCGAATTGCACTCAAGCGTCTTAGTTCATGAAGCTAAAACCGCAAGTCTTTCAAGCTTCGGAACGCTAAGACCCACACCTGACATGCGAATCCTAAGCAGCAGTCTGACACCTCAGATCGAGAACCCCAAATCAAAGGCCCAAAGCCTACTGTAACCGCCTTACTCCTTCGCCTTCCAACGCTGAGGCCACGCTTGATGGCTTCCACTGACGCCCTTGGCTTGCATGGATCGTACATCAGAAATCTTGACCAGAAAATTATGAGATATCCCAACCATATGATTGCGTTTGTGTGTGTGTGTGTGTGTGGGGTTATTCTGGTTCGTCCAGCGCCTGCATCGTTCTTGGCACCTGAAAACTATAGCTCAAGACTTCAGTAGTAAACCCGAAGCCATTTGTTGGGAAACCTCCTGTGATTTAAGATCGATCTGAGGAAGGCTGTGAGGCATCACGCAAGCATTGATTGTTGTTGGGGGCTTTCTATGATTTTGTACCTGTACTAATCAGACATCAAGAAGGCACGTGAAAAACCAGCCAAGGACTGAAGCATGTGTACCTTTGGCTGAGAGCGTTAGCCCGTTAGCATGCCTTTCGGGCAGCTTCACCACCTCAGTATTGCACCTAGATGCACCAGGTGCTTGAAATGGGCTTAGGTTTTTGGGGAGGTTGGAAGCCATGTTTATTCAAAGACTTCTCCCGTCCTGACCTTCAGGCCAGGGTCATCCATGCAAGCTGGCGCGCGAGGGGTCTTAGCTTACATCTGCCAGGAGGGCCCCCTTCACCGGATCTTCTGTCAAAAGGAGCGAAGCACCAAGCTGCTAAGAATGTACGGCTACTTTGTTTAGCCTTCTGTTTAAAAGTTTGTTACGGGGTAGAGCGGAAAAGCTAAAGACTTAATGCCAAGAGGCCGAGCATGACATGGCCGCACGTCCGGGTGCTTCTCGCGACTGGTCAATGCCGCATTTGGGAGTTTCCGAAGAGAAGGGGTGCCTTATTTTGGGGTCCTTATAATAAGGGTCCTACTATTTAGCGTACTATATTTGGGTCCCCTTTTTTCGGACACCCCCATTTCGAAAGATTCACACCAGGTCTTGTCGAAGCTGCAAAGAGAGTACAGACGTTTGGAGCAAGAACGTTCTTGCAATTTCGCAGAGTGTAAGTGTTAAGTGACGCCCATGCACATGCGGGAGTGTTATGAAACTCAGCGTGACGATTTAGAGCAGTTGTCAGGAGTTCCTTGTTTGCTGATGATCCTCCGTGAACTCGCTTGTTAGTTTCAGAGAGAATTGTCCGCTGCTGCTTGCGTACCGCTCGTTTTGTCTACATCGTGGGAAGCAGTGCAACCGCATGGGATTGCCTCAGGGTTCAATCGTGGCAAGGTCCTCTTGGCACAGAAAGCAGGAAGAAACCGCAGCCCCATGTATGGCGCAGATGGAGTCGCGAAGTCCTGCATGCAGTCGGGCTGCCCAACATTTGTGTGTTACAGCTTGTTGGCACCAAGCAGAAGAAACTTGTGCACCTGGCTATGATTCTGTGGCAGGCTTTCTGGTTAGCAGTACTTGGAACAGCACCAATATCACGAGTCGCAGTGGTAGGGGACAGGACGAAAAAAAAGGAGCAGCAGAAGCAGCAAGAGGAGAGTAGCCGAAGTTAGTAGTAGTCGCACAGTCACATGCCTTATTCTGGAGTGTAGCGTCGTCATCACCGCCATCAGCATCTACAGCATGAGCGATGAGGTGAAGGATGAGTTCAAAGGTTCGCATGTTTTTGGCACCATTGACTATATAGGAACCTCACATATCAGGCAGCGCAGGACTCCGGCTATCACCGGAAGCAGTGCAGTTTTTCTTGAATGCCAGAACCCTTCCGCATGACAGTCGTTCAAGCTCCCTGGCCTGCAAGCTGGAATCCCAAACCCCACCAAAGCGCCCAACGAAAACCCTAGTCCATGCACCTCTTTAGTGTTCTTGGTTTCGAGGTCCTACGCCCTAAGAGGTTGCAGCGCTCAGTTTTGCCAATTCTGAGCTCCCCCCAGCCCTAAAGCTCAAAATAATTTGATGCTTCAATTTGTAGTTAGAACAGAGTTTACAGGGTTACGATAAACACGGCTGTGGTCTCTATAGTATGGTCTTGGGTCTCACGAGCCGTAGCGTGTGGGTGCTAGACCCTTACACCACTGAAGCCCTGGAGTCACAAACCCTTCACTTGACCACAGACGCTTCCTGCTTCCGTCAGCTCACAGCATTGAGACATCTCTGGATATCGGACAACCGGAGAGGGCGAGGATGCAAAAGACTTCTCAGTTAGAAATCTGGGATTAGCTGTTTAGGGTGCAGGAGTTTATGGAATGGGCGATGGTTCAACGGTTTTTAGGACTTCAGGGAGAGCTTGGCAACTAGGCAGAGGTTACAAGAGTTCCATTGACCTTTCTGGCTCACCAAGCTCGTGACCACTTGTGCACCGGTCGAGAAAGCGCCATCGAAAAGCTGCTGCTCGGTACGCAGGGTCCCGGCAGAAGTTGTCAGTTCGTGATGAAGAACCATGGTTGCATGACTGCTGGGATGAATCCCTTCTACTTCGATGTCCAAATGACTTACATCTCGTTGGGTTGCTAAGGTGTAATATATGAATACTTGTAATGAACCCTGCATCTTGTAGTCACTATAGAACTGTCCTATACACTGTACTGCAACACCCTGCCGATTCAAATTATTCAGGCTACGTTAATTAATATATGCTCAAGTTCTCAAGGCTAAGGCTTCCGAACTTTAAGCGCACACGCAGCGGCATGCACGCTGCATCTCGTCGGAGCTGGTTCCCTTCCTTGGCAGCTCATAAGTCTTCTGGCCCAAACCATAGGCAGGTGGCACTTTGGGAAGCTTCTGAATTTCCGTATTGGTTCCATAGATGTGCTCTTCGGTAATTCGTTTGAAGGGTGCCCTGACCTCTTCACAAGCCTGATCTGGCCAGGCAAAAGACAGGCAGAAAGCATTCCTGGGTGGGTTGCCTTGGCATTGTCTCCCAAAGCTCCAAACATGCCTCGTACATGCACAGTTGCATGCGAAGGCCGAGCACACACTCAATCACAAACGTACATTCGCAAGCCTGGCTAAAGCATAAAATCGAGTTTAAAGGTTTCTGGATAAAAGATCGTATAACCCTAAGCCGCAGCATTGTCTGAGGCCCCTGTCGACCCCAAAGGTTTCTGTATCCTGCATTCCCACATGAAACCCTAAAGCCGAAACACCTACATCCTGTAGGCCTACCTATAGTCTCCATTGTAGTTCTTCTTTTTTGGTTCAACCAGTTATATTTTACGGATTTTATAAGGTATCCCCAAACAGGAACTACAATGGAGACTATACGTATATCTTAGGCCCCCCCACCAATTCAACAAAGATCTGAAGCCTGGAGGGTCATCCGCGCCGCACCGTTCTTTCTCTGGCTGCAGTTTCGAAGCATCACTTTAGGGGTTCATGCCATTCAACTTATGTTGTGTTCTCCTCGTCCTACTGTTGGCGGCACTGTGCTTATGGCCATGGTAAGGCAAAGCTGGAGAAACCGCAAACCCCAAGCCCTAAAACGGACTGCGCAGCTTCGCTTTTCACGTGCTTTTGGCACTGCTGCGAGCTTCGAAGATGCCCGCGACACAACTTTCCTGAGCTTCCAAGGGTTGAGAGTCAAGGGTTTTTGTTCGGGTGTTAATTTTTATCAGTGTTCCATAAGAGTTGCGTATGTAGGGCTTCGGGGCTTTCGGACTTGTAACCAAGGGCGGGCTTGGCAGGTCTATGGGATTTGGAGTCTCTGGATGTATGGTGACGGAGTGTGTGGGGGTCACGCTTTGCATGTCCGGGGCGATTCCTGAATGGTCTAGGCAAAAGGAGATGCGAAGCCGCGACAAGTGTTTAGCCGGGGGCTTGGAGTAAGTAAGCACACGATAGATGAGAACTCCGGTTATCCTAAGCGGATTTCAGAATTTTGCTTGGGCGTCTCTTCAAAGCACCCTGGCAACTTCAGCCCGAAGCCGGCTGAAGCCACCCTTCCTGGACCCCAAACGCCAAATTCCTAAGCATCAATGTTGTTTGCTGAAGATGCAGCTA